TCAGGTTTTGTTTTTGGTAAATGGAAGTGTATATATTTTCTTCTTTGTTTTGTTTCATTTGCTGGGGAAGGAAGAGGAGAATGAATAACTTTTTAAAAGTCAGGAGATGCTGCCTTTTAAAAATTTAGCCTCTAAGGAAGCTTGGTACAAAACTATCAACAGAGAAAGAAATCAACAACTTTAATCTTGTTCTTTGAAAGTTAAACCTAGTGTATACTCGTTCCATTTCTCTGATACAAGATTCATTAGAACATTTAGTCACTGATTTCCATCCTCCTCAATTGTAGCTGTCCTCAAAGAGATACTCTGCAACCACTGCAGATGGCAGAGTCTGCCCGTGTTTCCACAGATCTGCCAAGAAAGCTCAACTTGCTATTGATCGTAAATTGCTTTCACAAGGAAATGCGTAATGGGAATCTACCATTTAGTCCAGTCACCTTTCGTGGAGTTGAAATTTAGAGCATTTTGGAAGTGACCTTGGAATCTAGCCATTTATCTCTGTTCAAGTCTTTTTCAAAATTTTGTACTGTTTTTTCTTTAAAATAACTGTACCATATTTTCTCCTCAGACAAAGGGTACCTGGAATCTCAGGAGAAGCCCTACTCTCTCCAAGTCAAGCAATTCAGCTGAAATCTCACTGTCTGCTTCTCGGGGCTAAAAAGTACAAAAAATTATAGGAAAAGAAATAGAAACTGGATACCAAGAATGTGAATACCTAGAATGGGCCCAATAATATGTTTCACATTTTATATATGTTATTACATTTAATTTTCATAATGGCCCTATAACAAAGGTCCTTTTATCTTCTTATTACAGATATGGAAATGAGCTTAGAGGTTAATTCCCCAGGATCATGTGTGTAAGTAAAGTAAAGCCCTGACCAGTGTGGCTCAGTTGGCTGCAGCATCGTCCCATGGGCCAAAAGGTCACGGGTTCCAACCCCACCAGGACACATGCCTGGGTTGCAGGTTCGGTCCCCAGTCAGGGCGCATGCAAGCGGCAACCAATCGATGTTTCTCTCCCTCTCTCTCCCTCCCTTCCCCTTTAAACATGTCCTCAGGTGAGGATAAGAAAAAAAAAAGTAAAGAACTTGGGATTTAGAATTAGTACAGCATAATAATTAATGGTTAATACTCTGCAGTTAGATCACCTGGACTCAAATCCTAACTCCACTGCTTACTGGGAAACCAACTATTTTCTAAGCCTTGCTTCTTCCACAGTAAAATGCAGACAACTATAAAATCTGTCTCACAGGGTTGGGGCTGTGAGCATTCAATGAGATAGTGCTTATACATCTGTAAGCTAATATGTCATACTTTCTGAATTATGTGTGATTTGTGGGTTGTTAGTAGCATTTGCCTTCTTAATGAGTGAAGAGCCTTTTAAAAATCCTCACCTATTTTTCCAGCTAAGAGTTGAAGACATGGGAAGTCTCCTCATCCTATGTTAAACCAAAAAGCCTTTGTAGAAATTCCCAAACTATCCAAAAAAAAAAAAAATCACTACTCAATCACAACTGAATAACTAATGAAGATGTGACACAATTTTTGATGAGACTCTGGTGAAGTGAGGTCCAGATGTCTTTTTTTCATAGGGAATATTATATTTCTTAATTTCTTAAAACATAGATGTGGCACCGCCTGATCATTAAGACTGTGTGAGACCAGCCTGTAAACCAGCAGTGGCCACTGCACCAATGCACAAAGTGTGAGTATGTAACTGGAAGGGTTCAGACAAAGACAAGTTGATTCATAGCTGCAGACACGCCCATAACGTTTCCGCAGTAAGGATCGCTATATCCCAGCCCAAAATGGTATTAGTGCCTCATCTGGCCTGGACTGTATGTAACATTGTAACATATTGTGTTCTTCTAAGATAAATGACTGTTTTTCCCACATCCCAAAAGGAGTTAATATTTAATCAGGAAATTTTCTTTGGCAAGTTTTCTTGGTTTCATTTCCTCAAGTCACTAGGTCTCAGAGATGAGTCTCATCTGTTAATAGGATAAAACACCTACTGAATAGGGTGGTTATAAGAATTAAATGAGATCATGCACATAAAGTACTTAGCAGAGTGTATTAAGAACTCAATGTATGGTAGCTATAATGATTATGCCTACTGTGGAAAACTGGAAAGAACAGAAAAGTGTAAGAAGAAAAAAGTCAGCAAAAGTCCCCTTCCAAAGGCAACAACTGTTAACTTTAGTCAGTCATCTTTTTCCTACATGCAGTTTGTCTTCTTGGAGATCTGGTATACCATACAAACTATATGTATTCTGTTTTTGTTTTGTCAACTTGGCTTATTAATATAAATTAGGTATTTATTCACATTATTAACAACTAGGAAGTTGTCTATGTCTTCTAACACAATAGTTTTTTTTTTCCTAATTATGAAGTCCTTGGAAATGATAAGGTCCTGCCTACCCCATCTTCCTGCCGCTTTGGGATCTGACCTCCTGACCTTGGGAATCCTGAAATCTGTCACCATCAACACTTGGGACCACTGCAAAGGATCTCTTATATGCTTACAGGGTGTTGAGTGTGTAGGCTCAAAAAAAAAAAAAAAACCCCAAAGGCAAAGGCTCTGCGTTTACAATATAAGGCGGTGCAGAAAGCCTCACATTCCACAACCATCTGTTCAACTGCCTCTCAAATTTTTCTCCCACACAGTACAACAGAGGCTGCTAAAAAACCTAAAACAAACCCCCAAACCTGCTCATCTGATGTAAGCTGACACTCAAGCTCCTTCCTGAACTCCTTTTCTAATACCTTCTCTTCAAAGGAAAAACAAGATGTATTACTGAGCTTAAATATTTTTAAAAACTGCCAGGATATTAATATTCAGGTTGGCTTTCAGCATTTGAATTGCCCCACCTGAACTCTCCACTCTGACCCACCCCTCATTCTTCTTGATATTATTTCCCATTTTTTCAGGAAATATAATTATCTATCTAATTGTGGAGTCCAAAATTGACCTCTAGACATAGAATTAGTGAAAATCAAATACAAATTACATTTAAAGATAATCATCTATAACATTTATTTTGACTGATTATCTGGTTTGGGGGGCACTGTGTAACCAGTTTGTTATTATTGTCCCTATTACTGTTGATCTTCCATAAACAGGTCTCCAGAAGAGCAATGGCCATGTGGCTATGCAGAGAGGACATTAAAATGAACTGAAAAACAGAAGACTAAGGTTTCTGAAAGGTCCAAGATTCTGGATCCATCAGTGATGAGCTGTGTGACCTCGAGGAGCACAAATTCTCTGAGCCTGCTTCCCCATCTAAAAAAGAAGAATAATAATCTATGTCCATTTTGTTAGCCTTATGGAATTTTTATTCAGAAAAAATTAAATTACACATTTGAAAGTAATTTGCAGCTTGTAAAGAGCTATACAAATGTAAGGGGGGGAAGTAATTTGTTTTTAAATAAAAAGGTAGGGGCCCTGGCTGGTGTGGCTCAGTGGACTGAATGCCAGCCTGCGAACCCAAGGGTCGCTGGTTCAATTCCCAGTCAGAGCACAGGCCTGGGTTGCAGGCGAGGTCCCTAGTAGGGAGCACGTGACAGGCAACCACACATTGATGTTTCTCTCCCTCACTTTCTTCCTCCCTTCCCCTCTCTCTAAAAATAACTAAATAAAATCTTTAACAAATAAATGAAAAGGCAGGGAAAGAAAAGACAACCTCAAATACATCTTAACTGTCTTTTGAATTTTTATCTATACAGTCAACAACTGCCCTAAAATGCTAAAAACAGGTGATTCTGAATAATTCCACCGGTGACTGTCCAGTTTTCCTTCACACATGCATCATGCTAATTAAAGGATTGGCTATCTTCATGCTGTGTTAGAGGAACCCGAAGTGTTAGAACAGAACAGACTGACATGCTATCTCAAGGAACTTATACCAGCTAAGGAGGAACTGAGGAAAGTTAAGGAATTAAGAGGTAGGAAGGATTAGGATCATTGAGATTATAAGAATTTAAAACCAGGAAAAAGGTATGAACAGCTTAGAATTTAAAGAAATGTTAGGAGATGGTTTTCCCAAAGAGGGAGGCCATTCTCCAAACACCTAGACAAGAGATTTTCGCGCAGCTGTTATATTCAACTCCTTTAGAGCCTGACATTTGATTACATTTAAAATTCATCTTTTGCTTCCCTTTTCCTTCCTTCCCTGTACACCACATGTTCCGGCCCCAACCTCCTATTTCTCCCTCCTTCAGTTTATTTCCATTTCAATCCCTTTGCCGTCCAGGTCCACTTTTGCAGTGTTTCCCTTAACCTCTCCTGGCCGGGCTCTCCCTGGTGTCCGCCTCCCACCCTCTGCATCACGCATGCACATTCCTCTTTGGAAAAATCACACCTCATTCTTGCAGAGGAGCCTTGGAAAATTATTCAAAACTGTATTACTTTCTAAAATAGAAAGATAAGAGCTTTAAATTCCAAGCTGTTTCCCTAGGAGAGAGGACGTGGACGGGAGAAGCAATGGGAGTTCCAAACCCGCTCAGACTTGGTCACTGGTGGTGGTGGCACGATGCTTCTCATTCCATGTGGGCAGGACCCGCTGGCCAGAGGCATTCAGTCAGTGCAGGTGGGGGAGGGAAGGCGGGAAACAGGCAGATAGAAACTTCCAAAATGGAAAGAGGAAGACGTAAAATAAAAGGAGTTACTGAAGGAAGGAGAAGAGTCCAAAACAAAGAAAGATGGGGAAAATGGAGCAAGGAATAAAGTAAAAGGGGAAAAGGAGAGTAATGGGGGAGGGGTGAGGACTGAAGACAGAAATGGAAACAAACCAGGAGGGAGAAAACAGAACCGGCCTGGGGAGGGGTAAGAAAGAAGTGTGGGGCCGGGTTGGGAGCTGGGGAAGCAGAGCACAGGAGAGAACATGTGGAAGGAGAGGAACAGGGAGAGGAAGGGAGTAGGGAGACTGCCATGCCTAGCCTTGGTCTATATGTTTACTTCCTTACACTGTCACTGGTAGCTGCCTTATCTATTTTCACCTCTGGCAAGAGACGCCCGCCGATGTGCGAGCCGGGGCCTCCGATGAGGGACACCACGCCGTTGCAGTCCACTGTGCTGTTGCGCTTCACACTGCGCCGCAGGCTGGGGAAGATTCGGGAGGAGCGGCTGCCCTGGCTGTAGCCGCTGTAGCCGCTGTAGCTGCTGCGGCGCTCGCGGGCCCGGATCGGGATGAACAGCGAGTCACGGCGGCCCTCGCTCTCCTCCACTGTGCTGTGCTCGTCGTCCGCAAACTCGTTCTCCGAGCCCGGGTCCCGGAACCGCCCGGGCCCCCTGAAGCTGAAGATGCTGCTCTTGCTGTTGTGGCGAGATAGGAATGGGGAGCCTGGAATGCTGAGTAGTGACTGTAGAAAAAGAGAGAGAGATTGGCAGGTTATGAGACGGGAAGCTGCCCCCTTAGAGCCTGAGCAAAGGCTGCAAACTTCCCCAGCCTGGTCCCATCCTTTCATTTGTTCTCAGAGCACAAGTGTTTCCAGAAAGCACTCGGGATGCAGAATTGCTTCTACTGCTCAACACCCATTATTACTCACTTCTCCTTGTCCCATTCCCACGAGATATGCCTGTTTTTGACCAGTTAACCACTCAACAATTTGACTCATTGTTCACTCAAGCACTGAAACGATGCTTTTGTCTCATGTTCTATACAGCCAAAGCACTGGGAGACACATCTGTGTGTCTATTTTTCACACTATGGGCTCACAAGCAATGTGCCTTTAATTTACTCCATGCCACACTTGGCAAAAAGGAAAGAATTTAAAAATGGGTATCACCTGCCATTTGTTCAACATAAAATTTTTCACCAAAAGTTTAATATTTGTAAGTTCTGTAATTCTCAGCACTGGCGTATTTAAATAAATCTCTTCTTTACCACCTAGAAATTTTTCCTCATTTCTTTCTCCTTCAACTCATACTGCCAGTACACATTCCCTAGAGAATTTCATGCTAACATATATTTTATACTTCAATGTATTTTACTGATTACCCAAATACTTTTCTGTAAAAAAACATAAACCGTACTTTTAAATGTTTAAATTTTCCTGTAATGAGTGTCTAAGAAGTTAAAAAAAAACCACTGCTGAATTGAGTTTTTATTATTCTTATTAACATGATTGATCAAGATATACAAATATAGCCCTGGCTGGCATGGCTCAATGGATTGAGTGCCAGCCTGTAAACCAAAGGGTTGCTGGTTGGATTCCCAGTCAGGGCACATGCCTGGGTTTCGGGCCAGGTCCCCAGTAGGGGGCATGTGAGAGGCAACCACACATTGATGTTTCTCTCCCTCTCTTTCTCCCTCCATTCCTCTCTCTAGAAGTAAATAAATAACATCTTTTAAAAAAAGATATACAAATATAGTATATGTTTAATAAGTAATTACTAAACTTAAAAACTTATTAAAATGTATCTCTTAATGAGATGATGAGATTTTTCTTTCAATTGGTGTTTTTGGTGTTTAAATATTTGTAGATAGTATTACTTATTATTAGAATGACACATGGCTCAACATCGATTTCCCTGCCGCCTTTTAAATATTTGATTTTTAAGCACTGAGAAACCTCATTAATGTAAACAGTGCCTTGAAACAGAAGAATTTTGTTATAGTAATGTCACTCAATTCTTTGAACTTCTGCCAAATTATATGCCAAAGTCACTTAGTAAGCTACCAGCATTAGGTCCTCTTTTCAATTTTGTTGAAAGCAAAGAACTGAAAACCACCGACTTGTCAAAAGATTTATTACCTAGATATCAGAATTATTCCATGTCTTGATTTCTATGGATATAAAAAAGGCTTTATTTATTATTTACTAATATTATATGGGTTACTCTTATAGAGGTTACTCTTTAACTTAAAAGTCACTTTATTTAACCCAACAGAAAAGGTTAGAATAATCAAAATATTGCTAATTTCTATATATCTATGCTAACAAATTTTTTAATAAAGTGAGTTTATCTTATCACATGCTTTAAAGATATTTTCATCAAAACCACAAAGCCACAGATTTGGCTCACTTAACTTATGAGAATGTCTAATGACCTCACTACAAAAGCAACTGGCCAAATCAGACTTATGCATATTTTCAAAGGAAAAAGTATATCCTCAGACAGGGCAAGGGAGAGTAATGGGGGAAAAATGAGGACAACTGTAATTGAGCAATAATAAAAAAAATAAATAAATAGCCCTGGCTGGTGTGGCTCAGTGGATTGAGCACCAGCCTGCGAACCAGAGTCATTGGTTAAATTCCCAGTCAGGGCACATGCCTGGGTTGCAGGCCAAGTCCCCAGTATGGGGGGCATGTGAGAGGCAAACATACATTGATGTTTCCCTGCCTTTCTTTCTCCCTCCCTTCCTCTCTGTCTAAAAATAAATAAATAAAAGCTTAAAAAAATAAAATAAAACGTGAAATTAAAAATGACCTCATTTTTCATTTTATAAATATATTACTATGTATCCCAGCGATAACCATCTAACTCCTGAACTTAAAGCATCTCAATATCCTTGACTATAACTTCATTTCACACTTAAGAGTGTAAGAGGTAAAGCCAGAAAGTCTTACAATGGATTTACATTACCTGTATTAAAGGAAACTTTGTAGACTTTAATATTCCCAATCATCCAATGTCCAATTGACCCCAAAGATTTTTTAAAGATTTTATTTATTTATTTTTAGAGAGGGAAGGGAGGAAGAAAGAGAGAGAGAGAGAAACATCAATGTGCGGTTGCTGGGGGCCTTGGCCTCTAACCCAGGCATGTGCCCTGACTGGGAATCGAACCTGCAATGCTTTGGTTTGCAGCTCGTGCTCAATCCACTGAGCTACGCCAGCCAGGGCCACCCCAAAGATTTTTATTCCTTAGGGTCATGCACTACATAAGCATTGGGATGACAGAGGGGTACATGCTTTCCTTCCGTAAAGTGGGAGGAGATGATCATGAAGAGGGAAGTGAAAAAAACTGGTGTGACTTTGGGCCCCAGTGCTAACCTTGGGCATAGGAATAAGTAAGTTAAACATCTAGGAATCAGGGTTCTTAAAGCTAACTGTGCTTGGAAAGCCTTCAAGTGTCCCAAGGAATTGCACCCCACTTGAGGACTACTGCTTTAAGAGAAAGAACTGGACAAACAACTGACTTTGGACAATCCTCCTTGCTTCCCTGAGATATTTGGTTTTGCCCAATTATGACTTTGAAGAAATGTTCAAAATAATTTTTAACTATTTTTGCCTTAGACTTTAGGCTTTTACCTTCTTGTAAATGATTCCACTTTGAAAGTTCTTTGTGGGCTGGGTCTCCACCAATACAGTGCATATAAGTGTTAAATAAACCTTTTAAAATAAACTTTTGATCTATGTCTCTGTTCTTATGCCATACCAGACTGTTTTGATTACTGTGGCCTTGGTAATATAGCTTGATGTCAGGTATGGTGATCTGCCTACTTTGTTTTTCTTTCTCAAAATTTCTGTTGGGGTCATTTATGGTTCCACATAACTTTCTGAAATGTTTGTTCTATTTCTGTGAAATAAGTCATTAGTATTTTAATAGGGATTGTACTGAATCTATAAATTGCTTTGGGTAGTATGGACATTTTGATGTGTTAATTCTTCCAATCTATGAACATCATATATGCTTCCATTTATTTGTGTCTTCCTTAATTTTTTTCTTCAGTGTTGTGTAGTTTTCTGAATACAGCTACATGCAAAAAAATGAAAACTCAACCACCAACTTAAACCATATGCAAAAATAAACTCAAATGGATTAAAGACTTAAATGTAAGTCATGATACCATAATAGTCCTAGAGGAAAACATAGGCAGGAAAATCTCAGATATTCCACACAGCAATATTTTCACTGGTATGTCCCCTAGAGCAAGGGACATAAAGGAAAGAATAACCAAATGGGACTTTACCAAATTAAAAAACTTATGCACGGCTAAAGAAAACATCAGCCAAATGAAAAGAGAACCAATACTATGGGAAAATATATTTGCCAATGATATCTCAGACAAGGGTTTGATCTTCAAAATATTTAAAGAACTCACACAACTCCACTCCAGGAAGACAAACAACCCAGTTACAAATTGGCAAAGGACCAGAATAGACAGTTCTCCTAGGAGGATATACAGAGGGCCCAGAGACATGTGAAAGGATGTTCAGTATCACTAGCCATCAGAGAGATGCAAATGAAAACCACAATGAGATGCCACTTCACACCGGTCAGAATGGCTATCATAAACAAATCAACAATTAAGTGATGGAGAGGTTGTGGAGAAAAGGGAACCCTAGTGCACTGTTGGTGGGAATGTAGACTGGTGCAGCCACTGTGGAAAACAGTATGAAATTTCCTCAAAAAACTAAAAATGGAACTGCCTTTTGACCCAGCAATTCCACTGCTAGGATTATACCCTAAGAATCCTGAAACACTAATTCCAAAGAACGTATGCATCCCAATGTTCATAGCAGCACAATTTACAACAGCCAAGTGCTGGAAGCAACCTAAGTGCCCATCAGTAAATGAATGGATCAAAAAACTATGGTACATTTACCCAACGGAATTCTATGCAGCAGAAAGAAAGAAGGAGCTCCTACCCTTCACCACAGCATCATGGAGAGCATCATGCTAAGTGAAGTAAGCCAGGTGGTGAAAGACAAATACCATATGATCTCGCCTATAAGTGGACCTAACCAACAAAAAAAACAAGCAAGCAAAATATAACCAGAGACACTGAAATTAAGAACAATCTGACAGTAACCAGAGGGGAAGGGGCAGGGAGATAACAGGCAAAAGAAGGGAAAGGCTTGTCAAGGAACATGTATAAAGGACCCATGGACGAAGCTAAAGGGGGAAAGTGGTGGAAGGAAAATGGAGACAACTGTACTTGAAAAACAATAAAAACAATAAAAAATATATAAAATAATATTTTTGATGATAATTTTGGAAGGGCTGTAGGGCTCCTCTGTAATATTTCTGCCCATTATCTTTTTGTTACCTACAACTCCATTTCTAGTTCTAGACTCAAAATGCTTCCAGTTCCAATCTCTTTCTATAGCCCTGTGGCTCGATGGGTACATTTTCTTAGGATATTTCTAGTTCCATCATACTCTGCTCTCGTATGTATTTCCCTTGTTATATAGTCTTTTCCTGCCGTGGCTCAAAGCAACTCACAAATCCCTGAGATGATAAATGAATTTGATCAGTGGGGGCCACATCAAGAAAACTAAACCATAGATTATTTGATAATAAACGTCACTGTTAAATATATACCACATGCAATATTTCTGACAATTTGCCTAATCACTCTGATTTGTTTTGCTCCTTTGTCCCAACCCTGAACCAGAGAAGGGAAGCTGCATT